CCAGAGATGTATATACAGAGCACATCACAGGATACTGACAATACCAGGGTGTGTGAATGAGACCTCTGACAAGGGGCACAGTCAGGGAAATAACCCAATTTCTTCCCTGACAGACTGTAGCTTTCTATAGAAGACCCATCAAACACCTACAGATCTAGGGACAGACTAATCTCATGTACATATCTGCTTTACTGCCACTGACTCTGACTCTGTACACTCTGTGGGTGGTGGTGCACTCAAGAACACTCATCTTCTACTACTTAAAAATGTACACACCTTAATCTGGGACAATGCTTGTTATTTGCTCTAAGTAGCTTGTGAACGTTGTAACTAATACTTGTAGTTTTTCATAATGCAAGCTTGACCCCTGAGGTACAGTGCCTTTTCTTTAAACCCGTGTACTGTGAACTTGATTTCAAACATTAGCGTTAGTGTGAGGGAGTGAGAGGAGGGCCTGGCAGTGCAGGCGCTAAGCAAGGCCTCTTTGCCCAATTAGCCCCGCCCCGTTTTAGCTGCAGCCAAGGCCAGACCTGGAGGGAGAATAAAAGGAGGGAACATAGCTCAGTTAGGGGCTGACCAGAAAAGAGGCAGGAGAAGGTTCTGCCATCTGCCAGAGCTATTTGCTGGGTCGTACGCAGGAGGACGCAACCTTCCAGGCCCTCCTCCTGGCGCAAAGGGGGAGAACCAGAAAGAAATCCCCACTGAGGAGAGGGACATTGGACTCTTGGGGCCAGGCCCCAAGTTGAAGGAATAGATTCTGGTAAGCGTCTAGAAGTCCTACACCCCGGGCCCCCAGCTAACACCGGGACCTAACCACTAGGCCATCCCACTGCCCAGGAGAGCCGGCCACAGTTAGTAAGATTATTGCACTGAATAATCCCTGGATGGGATTGAGAATGGGCTAGAGAAACTTCTGTTTCTAGGGCATTGTCCAGCCCTGCTGGAAGCCATTTTCTCACGTAGCGGGGTAATGATCTGATCTCTGACGTATCTCGTTATGTTGGCTTCTTTTTTTCTAGCCATCTTTACTTTTTCCCTTGAAGGAGGAGACCCATGTTTTGAATCGCAAGGTTGTGCTGATACTGGAATCCTGGGCCCGTCTGGCATTTACCTGTGTGGCAACAGCTCAGGTTGCTAAGCTTAGCCATTGGCTGGGCAGGAGCCCTGTTGCTTTGGGTTTTTAATTCACTGTTCTCTTTATCAGTCTGTTTACTTTTGTTTTTAGAAATGCATCATTTCATGCTTTCCCTGGTTTGATTTCTCCTCCGGCCTCCAACTGTTAAATAAACGGATTGTGCCTGACTCCTCCCCATCCCCCATCAGAGCTTGGTAAAAAAGAATATTGGATGAAAGTTAAAACACTGAGCTTGTGTCATGACCCCACGGCTGCCGTATTCTGCTCTTCATTCTCAGCCTCGCTGCAGAAATAATGAAAGAGGACCTATGTATTGATATAGACCTAAATCCAAGGACAGCTGGAGACCCAGGTTTGATTTTGCTTTATTAGAACTGCAGCAGCCTACATAACAGCACGAGAGCTTTAAGGAAGTGCAAGGGCAGTAAAAGTACAAACTCAGGTATACAGTCAGTTCAGATTAAGATGACCATATACATGCGAATTAATTATTTTAAAACACTTTTGTCACACACACACACACACACACACACACACACACACACACACACAGGCTTTTTTCTGTTTTAGCATCCGAAATTAACATTGCATAACAGATTGCAAGCCAGCATGCCATGAGCAACATAACCAGGAATGTCTAAATCAAAGATCCAGTGTAATAATGTCTGAATTAATAGAGGCAACCGGTTTTTATGTCTTTAGGTGTTTGAGTGGCCCAAGGAACTGGAAATATGTAGGCAGACTTCCATATCTACATTTTCAGGTCAGTGACAATGTGTGTCAGTGGTGATAACTACATATAATTAACATTTGGAGGCTGTTCCATGCCAGGTGTAAAACAAGCAACAGGTCTCAGTTAGAGACGGTTGAGAATTTTCCACTGAAACATTTTTTAATAAAAATTTCCAATTTGTCAATAATAAAACTGTTTGTAAAACAGGGACAGTTTCAATGAATTTCCCAATTTGAGTTTTTGGGGGGCAAAAAAAAGTTTCAAAATAGTTAAAATGAAAAGTTTGAGTTGAAATGACTTTTTGGTTACAAATGTTGTAAATGTAGTTCAAATCGGGTTTAAAAAGTTCAAAGTGAAAAAAACCCCCACTTAAGCTGTGTCTAGACTGGCAAGTTTTTCTGCTTTTGCGGAAAACTTACCAGCTGTCTACACTGGCTGCTTGAATTTCCACAAGAACACTGACTTCCTACTGTCTGAAATCAGTGCTTCTTGAGGAAATACTGTGCTACTCCCGTTCGGGCAAAAGTCCTTTTGCGCAAAGCTTTTGCACAAAAGGGCCAGTGTAGACAGCTCAGATTTGTTTCGCGCAAAAAAGCCCTGATCGTGAAAATGGTGATCGGGGCTTTTTTGCGCAAAAGCGCGTCTAGATTGTCACAGACGCTTTTCCGCAAAAAGTGCTTTTGCGGAATAGCATCCGTGCCAATCTAGATGCTCTTTTCCGCAAATGCTTTTAACGGAAAACTTTTCCGTTAAAAGCATTTGCGGAAAATCATGCCAGTCTAGACGTAGCCTTAGAATTTATCTACGCAAAATGTTTCAATTGACCTGAACTGTATTTTTTGGTTTGTCAATTCATGGTAATTTTCAAGATTTTGAAACAAAAAACAGGACTATATAGCACTTTAAAGACTAACAAGATATTAGTCTTTAAAGTGCTACATAGTCTTGTTTTTTGTTTCAGCTAGACTAGACTAACATGGCTACATCTCTATTACTTTCCAAGATTTTTATTTTTTTGGTCCTGATTTGGGATAGGAAAATTTTTCAAAATCTTGGAATTTTCAAGATCAATTCCCACCCAATACTGATGCCAGGCCAGGTTCTAATATACTGCTGTGTCCATTACAAATCCTACCAATTAAATTGTGCCTCCTGGTGGCACCCTCAACAGAGAACCTGAGGAGTGAGTGGTGAACAAATTACCTTCTTGCCCTGCCAGCAATATTTTCAGAGTAGTGTTGAAGCACACTGGCACAACCAGCTGGGGACATTTTCTCAGGCTGTACCTCCTCTCTGGATCAATAATAATATATAAAGAGCAACCAGACAGCTGATACAGAACCCCCCAAGGGTAGGGAGGTGGGCTCAGCTCTGGAGTGGCTCAGGGGATAGGGCATTCATCTAGGCTATGTCTACACTGGCAGTTTCTTGCACAAGAATGGCTGCTCTTGCGTGAGCATCCACATTGCCCAACCACTCCTACGCAAGAGAAAATTTACAGTACAGCATGTAAGAGAGCTTGCACTTGTGAGAAAAGAGCATAGCTCTTGCACAAGAATCTCTGCCACGTGACCACACCACTCTTGCACAAAAGCACATCACGTACATGGCAGTGTGGATGTGTTCTTGCGCAAGAACCTGCCAGTGTAGACATAGCCCTAGAGAGCACAGGATCATGTGTTCAAGTCTTGGCTGCCATAGGAGCAGTTAGACAGGCCGCTGCAGGGATGGACCAGCCCCCTGCATTCGTAAGACAGGGGGTAGACCCTGGAGTGGCCCAGAGCAGTGCTTCTCAACCAGTGGTATAAGTACCCTTAGGGGGTACTCAAGAGAATTCTGGGGGGAGTATATCAGCTCAACTGAAATTTGGAGGAAACTGGGTTTTTTTTAAAAAAGTTTTACAGCATTTTATTATTTTTTACTTTTTTACACCCAAATATTTCTTCACCCACCTGGCTACAATTAAGTTGTTTAAACAAATGTGTTGCAACGGTTAAAAAAATTGTGTGTGAAAACTGTAGGTACTGAGGGTACTTATCATTTTTTTTTTTTGGAAAAAGGAATATTTTATAAAAAAAAGTTGAGAAACACTGGCCATGGGGATAGGGCATTTGCCACATGCCCAAGACTAGAGCCTGTACCCCTACCCCAGCCTGGTGAAAGTGAATGAGATTCGGGGAGGAAGGGCAACAGAGCAAGTAGGGTGAGGCCTTGGAGAAGGGGTGGAGGAGGGGCAGGGCCCCAGAGAAGGGGGGAAGGAAGCCAGGCAAGGGTATTTGGGTTGGGGGTAGATCTTACATTGCACTTAATTTGAAAAAGTGATCTTGTGGTTAAAAAGGTTGGAAACCCCTGTCCTAAATGGTAAGGGCCACCAAATTTGCTAGGCAGCTTCCTCATCTCCAAACTTAAAGCAAGGTCAGGGTTTGGTTGTGCCAGGACAATGGGGTGTGCCTAGAATTCTACTGTGTCTCATAAAATGGAAAGGGAGGGGGTCTGGTAGAAGGGACGGTTATACTGTAGAATGACCACAGGGGAGCAGCACGGGTCCAGAGGGGGGATCTGGACAGCTATAACCCCATTGGGCCAATAGGGGGCAGAGGTGGAGAAAGCAACAGCTATCTACTATATATTTCAGAGTTTGCCCATTTGTGTGTCTGTGTGTGCGCCCTCTGCCCCAGCTATGTCCATTGCAGCCGTAGCAGCCATGAACAGACACCAGAGTTGCTGCAGTGAGAAGAGGTCTGGGGTTGTCCTCTGTCCCCAGAGCAGCCCACACACTGAACCACTCCTCCCCAGCCCCACCCCAGAGCATTGATGTAAATGAAGAAAAACAAAATGTATTTGAATTAAGAACATGTCTGTCTGTCTGTCCCTTCTGTCTCAGCCTCTCTAGCCTTCACATTTATGGAGCCACAGTGATTGAAGTATCAAGCTGCTGACTTCACTGAGGAGTTTTGTCTCTAACACCCCCTGCGAGACTGAGCCTACATTGTGTGTCTCACTGAATGGATGAATGCATCAAGGGCAGTTTTAGTCTGCTTTGGAGGGAAGCACAATAGCACTGAAATAAGAGGGGAGGTGATTCATTTAGTTGTATACTGCTTGTTTTGTGAAAGAAAAGCTAGGCAGATGGAATGTTTTATTCTTTTATTAGTGGATCATAGTTTGCAGGCTGATCAGGAGAGGCTGATTATGGGGAACAATGAAATCGATCCCAATTTAATAATGTTCCTTGCGGCTTACAACAAATGAAAGCACGTGGGGAATAATAAGCCCATTCCAAGCAATGGCACTGCCACAGTCATGTCTAAATACTGATATTTCCGCAGACGGAAATGCCCAAAATGCCGAGGATTCCTGCCTTGGCACAGCCGCCAGCTCTTAGGGCACCTAAACAGGAAACATGGAGAGAAACACAACGTCAGTGACAATTCTCCAAAGTCCAGCAAGAAATGTACAAGTATGGGACTTGGCTCCCCGCCAGGGCTCGGTCCAACACACATCTGAGACTCCCGTTGATTTGTGCAGGAGGTAGACCAGACTCTTATGGTGCAACTCAAATGGGGGGAGGAAGGGAGGGATGCAAATTCAGCTTTAAGCCGCCTTTCCATATTTCTGGTCCTGGGCCAGTTGTGTCAAGCCAGTGCTTTGGCATAAGTTAGACCTGCTATAGCCATTACAATCCAGGGATCACTGGAGGACAAGGGAGTCTTGCCAGCAGCACGATGTAATGTAGGAGCAGCAATAGGGGCCCCAGAAAGTGCTGCCTTTGTCTACCTTGCAAGATAGATCCTGGCCACCAAACCAGCAAATCAATTCATTATTAAGAGTCACTTTAACACAGATGAGCCCAAGCTGTCATTTTATATTTGGCAAGAAAGAGGGGACAATACAGTGATTAGTGTATTAGCTCTGGACATGGGAGATTGGGTTTAATTCCCTGCTCTGCCAGAAACTTCCTGTGTGACCTTGGGCAAGTCACTTAGTATAGAATGCTCAAAAGGAATTATGCTGATTTCTTTTGAGTGTTCTTCTCTTAGCTTCTCCCTGCCTCAGTTACCCATTGATGAAATGGGATTAATAACACTTACCTATCTCCCACGAAACTATCCTACCGATCGTGGGGTGCTCACATACTACTGCTCACACAAGAGCCATTGACAGGATTATGAAAAGCAGCTCTTTTAAGACTCAATCCCTTTAGTTTCATTCTTGGTACTCACCTTCAACTCTGTGAACCCTGTAGATAGGCACATCTCTGCAGAGTTTCTCAATGGGTTTACCAAAGAGAAGCCACTCCTTGAATTCAGCAATTATAGAATCACTAGGTTCATATTGCACCCACAGATTTCTTTCAGAAAATATCTTCTTCATCATCTAAAAGGAGAAAGTAATAAAATACAGTTACAATATTTCTTATTTTTCTGTAACATCCTTGTTCACTAAAGAGTAATTCTGTACACAGCAAAATGAATTGCATTACTAAAATACTTAATAAGCATTAATAATAATATAGAACAGCCATGTAGTTTTATACTTGAGCAGCTTTCCCTTTGTTTTCTGCTTGTTTTTAAAGTTCTCTAAGGTGCCCCAGAACTGCTCTTTGTTTTCTCTGTTTATACTCCCAGCCTGTACAGGTAATTTTGCTAGGAACTTGTTACTGGTCACCTGTTATTTGAGAGGCTGAATACTGAAATCAGTTGGATCTTAATGCTCTAGCTGTAATTTTCTTCTGTACCCTGGAAGCTGCACTCTGTGCCAGAAGCTTGAGTTCTATCCCAGGTCCCGCTATAGGCTTTGACTCCTGCTGCTAACCAGAGTTAAAAACTGAGATGCTGTGTCCTCACTGCTATTTTAACCAGCGCCAGCTAACTCAAGAAGAAGAAGAAGAAGACATCTCGCCCTCCTTTTTTTTTGGCCTTCATATAAGCCTCCCTTGAAATTGTAACTTGTCATGTCTCTGTTTTGTTATCACCAGTCTAAAAAGAAAAACTCCTAAGAACAGTGCGTACTCCCGTGGCACGGCCCTTTACTTCCATCACATCACCTCTCTAATGTGATTTGCTTGTGTACAGTACATAATACTCTGGAGAATTACCTGTTTCTCATACGCAAGACGTCCAAGTTCTTCTATCTCTGGGATATAGCCTTTCTCCATTTTTAATACAAAGCAGGCCCTCCGGGAAAACAGTCTGGTTGCAATGTATCCCTGTGATACACAAGAGCAGGTTTGTAATTTGAAAATACTTACTGCCATCCAATTGTTAATTCTCTTGGCACAATGGGCCAGTTTCTGCTGTCAGATACAGTGGTGTCAGTTCCGAGTGACCTGATGCACTTCAGTGGAGTTACTCTGCATTTACACCACTGTAACTAGGATCAGAATTTACATCTCCATGTTTCTGCCTTCTACAGTTCTAAGGGCAATTTCTATATTTTCCTGTCTTCGTTATGGATTTCTGTAGAACGGACATACGAACAAACCAAAGAGATAGGTGTCTAAAACAGGCATCTGTTAAGGTTATTCATGAGGAGGAAAAAGATGTATTAAGCTAAATTTCTTTGTTTAAAAAGAAAAAAATGCATAGAGATAATTTAAGTCAAGACAGATTCTTGTTTTCACTTACACGATTGTAGTCAAAAATAGTGTCAGAGGAGCACATCCCAGCATGCACATGGATATCGACAATATTATGTTCACTGCTGATAGTCACGGTTTGTTGGACGTAATCATTGTTATTCCCAGGGAGGCTATAGATCTGAGTACAAAACACAAAGCATGTCATAGAGTCACCTTTTACACTCATCTGAGAAGTGCATAAAAGACAGGTAAAACGCTGTTGTTAAGTCCAGGGTTAATGAAGTTAAAGAACTACTAGGGAACTGTGCCCCCTGCTCACTAGGCTTGCCAACTGCCCTCTCTCTGGGGCAGGGTGTCTGGCCAGGGAGAGGGAGCAGGAGTAGGCTGGAGGTAGGTGTCTGGCCAGGGGGGAGAGGGCAGGAGCAGGCTGGGAGGTGTGGGGTCTTGGTGGAATGACTGGAAGATAGCTAATGTAACGCCAATATTTAAAAAGGGCTCTAGAGGCGATCCCAGCAATTACAGACTGGTAAGTCTAACGCCAATACCAGGCAAATTAGTTGAAACAATAGTAAAGAATAAAATTGTCAGACACATAGAAGAACATAATTTGTTGGGCAAAAATCAACATAGTTTCTGTAAAGGGCAATCATGTCTTCCTAATCTATTAGGGTATGTCTACACTAGCTCCCTAGTTCGAACTAGGGTGGCTAATGTAGGCATTCGAACTTACAAATGAAGCCCAGGATTTAAATATCCTGGGCTTCATTTGCGTGTTCCTGGGCGGGCGCCATTTTTAAATCCCTTAGTTTGAACTGACTGCCCGCGGCTACACGCAACAGTCAGAAGTTAATCTGAACTAAGTCCTTAGTTCGGATTAACTGTTACTCCTCCTGCAATGAGGTTTAACAGTTAATCCAAACTAAGGACTTAGTTCGGATTAACTTCTGACTGCCGTGTGTAGCCTATGATATGAGGAAGTGGGTTTGGCCCACAAAAGCTCATCACCTATTAAACCATCTTGTTAGTCTTTAAAGTGCTAATCTATTAGAGTTCTTTGAAGGGGTTAACAAACATGTGGACAAGGGGGATCCAGTAGATATAGTGTACTTAGATTTCCAGAAAGTCTTGACAAGGTCCCTCACCAAAGGCTCTTGTGTAAATTAGGTTGTCATGGGAGAAGAGGGAAGATCCTTTCATGGACTGAGAACCGGTTAAAAGACAAGAAACAAAGGGTAGGAATAAATGGTAAATTTTCAGATTGGAGAGGGGTAACTAGTGGTGCTCTCTAAAGGTCAGTCCTAGGACCATTCCTATTCAACTTATTCATAAATGATCTGGAGAAAGGGGTAAATAGTGAGGTGGCAAAGTTTGCAGACGATACTAAACTGCTCAAGGTAGTTAAGATCAAAGCAGACTGAGGAGAACTTCAAAAAGATCTCACAAAACTAAGTGATTGGGCAACAAAATGGCAAATGAAATTTAATGTGGATAAATGTAAAGTAATGCACATTGGAAAAAATAACCCCAACTATACATATAATATGATGGGGGCTAATTTAGCTACAACTAATCAGGAAAGAGATCTTGAAGTCATTGTGGATAGTTCTCTGAAGATGTCCATGCAGTGTGCAGTGGCAGTCAAAAAAGCAAATAGGATGTTAGGAATCATTTAAAAAGGGATAGAGAATAAGACAGAGAATATCTTATTGCCCTTATATAAATCCATGGTACGCCCACATCTTGAATACTGCGTACAGATGTGGTCTACTCATCTCAAAAAAGATATGCTGGCATTACAAAAGGTTCAGAAAAGGGCAACTAAAATGATTAGGAGTTTGGAACCAGTCCCATATGAGGAGAGATTAAAGAGACTAGGACTTTTCAGCTTAGAAAAGAGGAGACAAAGGGGGGATATGATAGAAGTATATAAAATCATGAGTGGTGTGGAGAGGGTGAATAAAGAAAAGTTATTTACTTGTTCCAATAATATAAGAACTAGAGGACACCAAATGAAATTAATGGCTAATAGGTTTAAAACTAATAAAAGAAAGTTCTTCTTTACACAGCGCATAGTCAACCTGTGGAACTCCTTGCCAGAGGAGACTGTGAAGGCTAGGACTATAACAGAGTTTACAAAAGAGCTAGATAAATTTATGGAGTTTAGGTCCATAAAAAGCTATTAACCAGGTGGTAAGGAGTGATGTCCTTGGCCTCTATTTGTCAAAGGCTGGATATGGATGGCAGGAGACAAATCACTTGATCATTGTCTTTGGTCCATCCCCTTTGGGGCATGTGGCACTGGCCACTGTCGGCAGACAGGATTCTGGGCTAGATGGACGTTTGGTCTGACCCCGTATGGCCATTCTTATGTTCTCATGTTTTTATGTTCTTATATGCTTGGTCGGGGAATGGGGTAGCATGGGGGAAGGGCAGAGCTTGCAGGCCAGAACGAAGCCTTTCCCAGCCAGCTGGGCCAGATTGTGCAATCTTTCTGGCAGGGACTAGCCCATGGACTGGGAGTTTGAGACCTCTGTTCTGGGGGATTGTGCTTGCCTAGGAAGCAGTGGACTCGCAGATAACTGTGTGAGGAATAACCCTGAACTGATTTGATGGGATGGAAGGAGGTGACTTCACAGATCTGCTCCTTCTTTGGGGCCTTTTCTAATGGTCCTTACTTAGGCAAGTGTCAGTAGGAGCTTTTTCGGAGCAATGACTGCAGCACTGGCTCCTTAATTTATAGGATTTTCTGGTTTGGCGAAGAATACATTTCCTTCGTGCTCAGCGATAAACATTTTCTTAACTTTTTCAGTGCTTTTCTTCCAGGTTATACCACTTCTCTAGGGACCTAATGCATTGCAAATGAACACTGGACAATACAAAGCTCTGGCAGTCTACTTACTTCATATGAAGAAGCTTGAGTCCAGAAGACTCCCAGCACAGCAATTACTATAGCCTGAAAAAGAAATAATAGCTTTCAGATGCAATAGAAACACTAAAAACCATCGAGACACATGGACTGCATTCAGGCCAAAACTCAGCCTGCAGGATTAATGACTCGAGGGAAGCTGTTTCATTCTTGAGACTTGAACATTTATCTATTTTGCATTGTATGCAGATTATCTGAAAATGATTACATTTGCCAATTGTAAGTTTCTCTTGGATAAGTTTCGCTTGAATCACTGTGAAATTTTATAAAGATGACTTAATCTTAAAGGGAACAGAAGAAGGAATTTAAAACAATTCTTGCTTAAGATTTGTTTACTTCTGTATTACTGTATATAAAGATAAAGCTAGCTGGCTGTCATCTTTCTGATATATTTGATACTTGTGTTTTTGCCATAGAAATTTTAGAATCCCAAACCTACTCTGCCATAATTTGATTGGAGGGCCTGTTGGTGCTCCAACTTAGCTCTCATACCTCAGCTGAAGAGAATGAGGTATTTAACAAACACATTCTTCCTCCAAAGTCTTAGTCATTGACATTAAATGTCCATTAACAAAAACAAGGACAATTTTTAGGTGGTTAGACTAAAAATCCCTTCCCCTTTCCATTGGAACTAGAAGCATGTTGATCCCCCACAAAATTTGAGATGTTTATATCTGGTTGTTGATGATTCCCTAATTGTCCACTGCACAATTTCTTGCACTTGCCTCTGATGAATCTGGTGTCAATAACTGTCAGAGACATGGTACAAACAATGACCACAGATCAGATGTAATATGGCATTCCCTAGATTCCCATACTTGGTTGAGGCCTACGTTTACTGGATAAAATATTACAAAGTCCAGTCCAAAATCTAACTTTAAAAAATGAAGTTTGCTAAATATTTTTAGTAATTTGAAACATTTCTCACACTTTTGCCTGTGTAAAATTTTTTGTAATTTCAGTTATCTTAATTATTCCATTCAGAAAGTAACAGGCAATACTTTTTCTTTGGAGAAGTTACATTTTTCTTGTTAGTCAGAAATTACAATAATTGCTGCCAAAGTATTTCTTGATTCCTCTAAAAAAATATCAAAAATTTGCAGTGAAAACATGCTTAAGTTTGGGCTCAATCCTATATCCTTTTCCAATGCATGATTCCTAGTGGTTTCAAGGGGATTTTTGTAGTGCAAAGAAAGCTGGACCAAATAATGAAACATAATTATTCTTCTTGTCCTCTCAAATCAATGCTAACTTTACTGAACACACTTCTAGTAAAAAAGAATTAAGATTTTTGTACAAATAGTATCTTTAAAAATAATTACAATTACAATAAAAGACAAAGATACTCACAACTGTATTCATTTTTCCTTCAGATAAGAACAAGAAGTTGTGGATGAAATGGAAAAAAACTGCCGAGACCTCTAACTTTTATATCTTGCTATAGGTGTGGGAAACAGTTGACAGAAATATGCGTTGTGACTCGAGCAATCCCGTATCTGCATGCCACACCATGGTAAACGGCTTTATCTGAATTTTGGGCCTGGACAGATAACTTGATTCTGATAGGATGTAAGTGCTTTAGTCCACCCTGAAAAGATTAAAATTGCTCACTTCGCAAATATCTATTATTTACTAATTAACTCTCCAGAGTATACAAATGCTAGTTTTCATTTGTAATACACAAAGGTTTAACTTGTAAAGTTTTCTTCATTAGCAGACGTGAATATAAGGAATGACTCTACTGCTCTTTCCTACTTTTTACATTTTCCTGTCTGTATCTCCATCCGCAGACATCCACATAGCTTAATAGTGAACCTGGACAGTTATTATATATATTTATATAAGACACACACACATATTAGAGTATCTGTCTGTGTGTGTGTGTCTGCAAAAACTCCTACTACACTGTGAGAGCTAGGGTCACCAAATTTGGGATGCAGCTTCCTCTTCTCCTAACTTAAAGCAAGGTCGGGGTTTGATTGTGCCAGGAGAACCAGAAGCCCCAGAAAAGGGACTGTTTTCCATAACATGCAAAGGGAGGGGCTGTTGTTTGGAGGGATTTAATACTGAGATTGGCCACTGTGGGCAGTGAGCCCAAGGGAGAGCTTCCTGCAGAGTGTCTACTGTGGGCAGCTGCATCAGCAAGGGAGCGGCCAGCAGGCCTAGGGCTCTGCCATCTTGTCTGCTAGCACACCAAGTAAGTAAGAGCCCTGGGGCAGGGGGAAAGAAAATGCCCCTGGCAGCTGATGAAGAGGGAGCTAGTTGGGGGAAGAGAAGAGGCCCCTGGTGTCAGGGGGAGGTTAGAGGGAGAGAAAAGACCCAGATGGGACCCCCTACCCTGATCCTCTCCTCATCAATCACAACCCTCACTCTTGTATCCTCCACCCCCAGCCTCTCCCACACACCAGCCCTTTGCCCTGAATGACCCAGGCAATGCTGGGCAAGTCTGTTAGTATCCATAGAATGGCAACCCACAAGCACTGGCTAAATACCAATTATAGGTCAAAGTCAAGGTTCCCCCAAGCCACTGGCTCCTCAGACTGGCATGGTTAATTCATATTAGTTTTATAGCAAACAGTACACTTGCGGCTTCTTGCACCAGAGATATGCAAATGAGGCTAAGCATGGACTATCGCAGAGCCTCATTTGCATACCTAATGAGCCACCATTTTTGCAGAAGAGGCTCTTGCGCCAGAAGGAGCTGACTACACTGCCCCTTGTTGTGCAACAAAACCCCTCTTGCGCCATGCCGTTCTTCCTGAAAAGTAATTGGCGTAACAGCATTGCACAAGAGGGTTTTTCTTGCGCAAGAAGGGGCAGTGTAGACAGCTCCTTCTGGCGCAAGAGCCTCTTCTACAAAAATGGTGGCTCATTAGGTATGCAAATGAGGCTCAGCAATATTCCACGCTTAGCCGCATTTGCATATTTCTGGCACCAGAAGCCGCGAGTGTAGACATAGCCAAGGGGATTATGTGGCCAGCACCCTTATCCTGCCTTCCACGGGGCAGCCTCAGTGCTGGCTGTGTCCTGCCCTGTCCCATTGCTCCC